CTGGTCTGTTAAAGATAAAAAACAAACTTACTGGCTGGACCACCAGGTAAAAATAAAGGGAAAAAAACAAATAAAAAAGAAAACGAATGCAGTCACCCCATTTAAAGTGATAGTAAAGTCCCCAATAGTAATTTGTACCTACAGGTAAGCTTACAATCAGGCTTACCAAAAAATTAAATCTGCGCTAAGACACCTATCCATGTGAACGAGCAGCCACTGTGATAGCAGTTAATCAAAATATAAAACAAAAAGCAGCTGTAAATTACCTGTGGGTGCAACGATTATCTCCTACATGAGCACCATTTAGGAGATATTCACATTGGCAATATAGTTGATGACGTCATTGGTGCATGCGCATTGATGTTCTTTATTCAGGGCACACAGTATGCCGTTGATTGCAGAGCGCAGTGCCATGGCCAGGACTCCCATGTTCATGCGCGGGAGTGACGTCATCATGGCTGCCATGTGCATGCGCGGGAGTGACGTCATCATGGCTGCCATGTGCATGCGCGGGAGTGACGTCATCGTGGCTCCCATGTGCATGCATGGCAGTGACATCATTATGGCTCCCATGTGCATGTGCGGGAGTGACGTCATCGTGGCTCCCATGTGCATGCATGGCAGTGACGTCATTGTGGCTCCCATGTGCATGCATGGCAGTGATGTCATTATGGCTCGCATGCGCGGGAGTGACGTCATCGTGGCTCCCATGTGCATGCATGGCAGTGATGTCATCGTGGCTCCCATGTGCATGCGCGGGAGTGACGTCATCGTGGCTCCCATGTGCATGCATGTGGCAGTGACGTCATCGTGGCTCCCATGTGCATGCGAGCACGGGAGTGACATCATCATTGCTCCGGCTGGAGGCTGCAAATTATCCTTTAAGCTGGAAGCACCAGGGGATCAGTGACAGGGCTCTGTGTGCAGGTAAGTGTCATAATGTGATAGTATGCAGTGCAGACTAGTGCATTATGGGATAAACCAGAGGGGTACCCTTTTTTTTGGGGGCAGTTTACTTTCACTTTAAGGGAGGGTAGGCTTGTTTGATTGTGAGCCGCCCAACCAGATCCACTAGGCTCCCTTCATGACTGTCCTTTTCCCTTTACTGCTCTGTATAAAAATGCATTGAAGTTCAAGAGCCCTTGGGATCTATCCCATTGGAACTATCATTTATTGACAGTCTTTATTCTTCTAAGTGGAGTTCGTTGTGCCGACCAGACCTGACAGCCTTCTGAGAAATGGTGGAGAAGGCGGCCGTCTCGGATATGAAATATTTAGGACTGTCATGTAGGTCAAAGACTGAAATTAAATTCAAATTAATAAGCCATATCTAATCCCAGCCACGCTCCCCCCAGCAGGCCATACACAAACGGTGGGATATTTATAATTTATATTATGAAGACGGTGCCAGATGACTGGGTTACGTTCCTCCCGGCTTCTTGGCTTTGTCATAGATTCCCCCTTCAGAGGTTTTCTATAAACAGATCCTCGAATTGAAATAGACAGGCCAAACAGAGCAGAGAGGCACGGGAGCGGCGGCAGGAGACAGCGGAGGGCGAGCCTTATTAGGGAATGTTACTCAGCCGCATCAAAGGATATTAAAGAGGAGAGAAAGAATTATTCTGAAATGATGAACAACACACACTTCTACACTCGGTTAAAGGATATCTCCAAAATAATTACCACCACTATTTACATCTAAACTGGTTATAGCACACAACCCCCAAGGTGGTTTCTGAAAAATGAGGTTTTAGTTCTACTCATCTCCACCGCTAGAGCTTAACCACTTCCCGACCGGCCGTTGTATATAAACGGCCGGACGGTGGCAGTGCAGGGTCGGGTGGACAATTATAAACGGCCTCCCCGCACCCTGCTTGTGCGCGTTCCCCGGGAGCGCGCAGCACCGCGATCCGGGGCCCGCTGTGTCCTCTGGACACAGTGAAACACTGATCGTCGGACGGGACCTCTGTACGAGGTCCCGATCATGTGATCACTGATTGGCCAATCGGTGATCACATGCAAAGTAATAAGCAAGATGTCACTTGTGACATCATTGCTGACTACGTGTGAAATCTGTAAATGATCACAGAGGTCACATGGTACAAGGCTATTCACAACAGCCTTGTACTATGTGGCAAGCTGTGACCAATCATAGCTCACTCAGTAGTTCTCAATGACTGCAAGAATGCAGACAGAGAGAAAGAGAAATGATTGCTTTTACATCCTATGTGGGTGTAAAAGAAATCAGTGTAAAAAAAAAAAAAAAAAAATCTTCATCACCACTCAAAGGTAGTATAGTGTCAGTATGGTGACACTGTACTGCTAGGGTGACAGTATGTAAAAAAAAAAAAAATAAAATAAATAATATAAAAAAATAAAAAATGTTTAAAAATTATAATTTTTGGTTATAAACTAATTTGGCTTATTTTTTTTTTTTTACTAAAACGATAACAGAATAAATTTTGGCCAAGATTTATGATGAAATATTATTTATTTACAAATTTTTATAAGAAAAACACTTTTTTTCAAAATTTGTGGACATTTTCATTTACATAGCAAAAAAAATAAAAATCCCAGTGGTGAATAAATACCACCAAAATAAAGTTTTATCTGTTTAAAAAAAAATGGTAAAAAATGCATATGGGTACAGTGTTGCATGACCGCGCAATTGTCATTCAAAGTGTGAGAGCGCTGAAAGATGAAAATTGCTCTGGTCAGGAAGGGGGTAAAAGTGTCCGGACTGGAAGTGGTTAAAGAGAGTGACACCATGATTCAGGCTCTGCAGTTTTTTCAGTGTCACCCCCATCCCCACGTATTCCCACTTCCTATTAAAATTGAACTATCAAGACTACATTAATAAAAATAAGTTTTATCTACCTTTTTTGCATTTTATATGGACCATAATTCATGGCCCTTTCACTTTATTGGATGGGACGGACTTTATTTTACATATTGTATAGATAAGTATTGTATTAAATATATTATAATATATACATACAGTATATGTTATATTACATATTATACAGGCAGACCTCGGTTTACAGACAGCTCGGTTAATGTAAATTTTCGGTTTACAAATAATAATCCATTGAAAATAATGCCTCGGTTTACAATTTTGTTTTCGCAGTACGAACAGATTAATTGGTTTTCAATGCATTTACAAATATTTTTTAATCATGTCCCTGTACAGTACTATGCATTTAAAATGCACTTCATAAAGAGTTTTGAACAAATAAAACTTTTTTCTGACCTCTGGAATGGATTAACTGGTTTTCAATTAATTTACAAATTAATTTTTAATCATATCCCTGTACAGTATTTATGCCTTTAAAGTTCACTTTACAAAATTTTGAACAGATAAACCGAGGTATGTATATGCATACAGTTGTGTTCAAAATAATAGCAGTCAGACATCACTAACCGGATCAATCACTGTTTTTGGTAGAAATTATATTTCTATATGTCAAATAATTTACTAGCAGGTGTAGTAGAGTAATAGAAATCCAACAGACCCAACAGTCATGACATGCATGCTGCTGATTCTGTGTAATTGAATCACTCATTGAAAGGGGCGTGTTCAAAATAATAGCAGTGTGGAGTTCTATTAGTGAGGTCATTCATTCTTTGAAAAACAGGTGGCAATTATTGCCCTTATTTAAGGAAGGAAGGCAGCAAATGTTGTACATGCTGGTTACAGTGCATTTCTCTCTGAAATTCTGAGGAAAATGGGTCGTTCCAGACATTGTTCAGAAGAACAGCGTACCTTGATTAAAAAGTTGATTGGAGAGGGGAAAACATATAAAGAAGTGCAGAAAATGATAGGCTGCTCAGCTAAAATGATCGCAAATGCTTTAAAATGGCAACCAAAACCTGAAAGACGTGGAAGAAAGCGAAAAACTACCATTCGAATGGATAGAAGAATAGCCAAAATGGCACGGACTCAGCCAACAATCAGCTCCAGGAAGATGAAAGAAGGTGTAAAGTTCCCTGTGAGGACTGTTACAATTAGAAGACGCCTATGTGAAGCCAAGCTATCTGCAAGAAGCCCCCGCAAAGTCCCACTGTTGGAAAAAAGACATGTGCTGAAGAGGTTACAATTTGCCAAAGAGCACATTGACTGGCCTAAAGAGAAATGGCACAACATTTTGTGGACTGATGAAAGTAAGATTGTTCTTTTTGGGTCTAGTGGCCGGAGACAGTTTGTCAGACGACCCCCCAAACACTGAATTCAAGCCACAGTACACTGTGAAGACAGTGAAGCATGGTGGTGCAAGCATCATGTTATGGGGATGTTTCTCATACTACGGTGTTGGGCCTATTTATATCGCATACCAGGGATCATGGATCAGTATGAATAAATCAGAATACTTGAAGAGGTCATGCTGCCTTATGCTGAAGAGGAAATGCCCTTGAAATGGGTGTTCCAACACGACAATGACCCCAAACACACCAGTAAACGTGCAACATCTTGGTTCCAGACCAACAAGATTGACGTTATGGAGTGGCCAGCCCAATCCCCGGATCTTAATCCAATAGAAAACTTGTGGGGTGACATCAAAAATGCAGTTTCTGAAGCAAAACCAAGAAATAGAGAAGAACTGTGGAATGTAGTCCAATCATCCTGGGCTGGAATACCTGATCACAGGGGCCAGAAGTTGGGTGACTCCATGCAACACAGATGTACAGCAGTTCTCAGAAACAGTGCGACTACAACCAAATATTCATTAAGTGATTCAAAGGAAAGCAAAATCTTCAAACATTTTTCAGTTTATATAGTGAATGTTTGAGTTTGTAAAGAAGAATACAAACACTGCTATTTTTTTTGAACCGTCTAATATTCACTTTTCTTAAATTTTTTTAGAGGAACAACACAAATTTGATATATTTTTCCACAAAAGAAGCCACTCCCAAAACCCATGCACAAAAAAAAACGCCTAGAATTTGCCAGGGCCCATGCTGAAAAAGAAAACTACTGGAACCCTGTACTCTGGAGTGATGAGACCAGGGGCAGACTGATCATTTGGAAACTCAAGCACTGCCCGAGGGCCAGGGGTCAGTAGGGGGCCCCATGAGATGCCCCTGGTACCTTTTTCATAGGCTTTTTTGAGTTTGGGCAAGGACACAGGGGCCCCATGATCCCCTATTGCCTGGGGGCCCCATCAGTTGTCAGTCCGCCCCTGGATAAGACCAAGATAAATGTTTTTGGAACTGATGGCTTCAAAGCTGTATAGCATCGCAAAGGTGAGGAATACAAAGGAAAATGCATGGTGCCTACTGTGAAACATGGTGGTGGCAGTGTCCTTCTGTGGGGGGCTGCATGACTGCTGTTGGTGTCGGAGAGCTGCATTTCATTGATGGCATCATGAATTCACAGATGTACTGCTCTATATTGAAAGAGAAGATGCTACTATCACTCCGTGTCCTTGGTCCTCGTGCACTTTTCCATCAAGACAATGATCCAAAACACACATCTAAGGCCACTGTTGCATTTCTGAAGAAGAACTGGGTGAAAGTGATTCAATGGCCCCGTATGTCTCCTGATCTGAACCCAATCAAACACCTATGGGGAATTCTGAAGAGACAAGTTAAGCATCACTCTCCATCCAGCATTCAGGCTCTAAAAGAGGTCGTTTTTGAGTGGAAAAATATCGATGTTGTAATATGTCGCTGACTTGTTCATTCCATGCCTAGAAGACTTGGCACTGTCCTCGCAAATCATGGAGGTCATAGAAAATACTTGATGGAGTAGTTTTTGTTGTGGGGTGGATTCATTTTTGCATCAATTAAGTTTTAAGTAAAATTGAAGATTTTGTAATCTAAGTTATATTATTACCCTTACTTTTATGTAATGAGCTAAACAAATGTTCTATAAACTCAGTTTTGTCAAAATTTCGGAAATTGTTCTTGTTTTCATTGACATATTGATTAAAAAGGGGTGTACTCATTTATGCTGAGCACTGTATATATATATATGTCCGGAGGACACAGCGGGAACCGAATCGTGGTGCCGCGCGCTCCCAGGGAGCACGCACAGGCAGTGAATGCGGGGCCATTTATAAAATGGCAACCCGCTTCAGCACTGCTCCCGTATAGCTGTTTATGTACATGGACCAGACGGGAAGTGGTTAAAGTATATTTTTTGCTAAAAATTTGCATTTGATAAGCTGCTGCGCAAATATTGTGCAACATAAAAACAAAATTGCAAGAACAACCATTTATCAACCGAATCGTTCTGTTCGTTCCTCCCAAGACCTCCTGCTATCTAGCTCCCTTGTCATCTCCTCCCATGTTCGCATCCAGCACTTCTCCAGAACTACTCCCATCCTCTGGAACTCCCTTCCCCAATGTGTCAGACTATCTCCCCTACTCTGTCCACTTTTACATGATCCCTGAAAACTCATCTCTTCAGAGAGGCCTATTCTGCCCCCACATAACAAATGTACATGTATTTTCTCCATCAGCCCACCCCCCACAGTAATTACCTTTTGCATCTCTTGACCCTTCCTTTTAGATTGTAAGCTCTAATGAGCAGGGCCCTCTGATCCCTCCTGTATTAAATTGTATTGTAATTGTACTGCCTGCCCTTATGTTGTAAAGTGCTGTGTAAACTGTTGGTGCTATATATAAATCCTGTATAGTAATAATAAGAATAATTTTAACATCTGCTTTCAGAAAATATATGTTTGGGGGTTCTAAGTATTTTTTTTAGCTAAAAAAAAAAAATGTAGATTTTTAAATGTCAGAATTGACCCGACAGCCAGGCAAACAGTATTTTCATGTTGCGATAGCAACCTCCATGTTTCCTTTGGGAAGGCTTTTCCTTTCATGGAATTTGGGTTTCGCAAGTAATTTATCTTCGCCATAACGCCTGCGCTGCATGAAGTTCACATTCGTTCAGCTCTGCAGGACATATGTCCCAGATAGTACAGGAAATGTACTCGCAGCTGATTAAATGTCGGTGCAAAAGCCAAGAGGACAAGGTATCAGCGGCAGGCGCTGTGATTGATCTCCCACGCACACCGCTATCTCAAAGAATTTTATTTTTTTTGTTTTTACAGGCGCCATAACGTTTGCTGAACAAGCACTGGACTCTTTAATCAGAGCACAAGTATTTATTCTCGTGGAATGAATAGATTCATAGACATGTGAGTCTCAGCTGCTTGCAGATCTGAATGGCCGGGCACTCCCATGTTGTTAAGATAACACCTTCATATAATACAACATTTCTTTTATAAGAAGCTTGGAAACGTGTGAAGCCCTTGGGGACAGCCATTCAAAACTAAACAAAATAGCATGGGCTGGTCACTATGCTGCATCTGCCAATCACAATCCACAGTCTGGACAAATATAAAAAAATCCATTAGATCAGGGATGCTCAACCTGTGGCCCTCAGAGCCCTCTGATGTGGCCCTTCACCTCAAACTGTATTCAGGAGTTTTGATGCCCTTCCAGAAAGTGCACCACACCTACAAAATATATTGAAAGTCTATGGCAAAGAGCAGCTAAGATGCAGGAAAGCCGCAGGTAGCACTGTACTGCACCTGCGGTGCAGGTAAACCGCAGCACATCAGTGTGAAAGCAGCCATATAGTGGGCTCTGGATAGTAGGGACCAGGGGCGGACTGACAACTCATGGGGCCCCCAGGCAATAGGGATCATTGGGCCCCTGTGTCCTTGCCCAAACTCAAAAAAGCCTATGAAAAAGGTACCAGGGGCATCTCATGGGGCCCCCTACTGACCCCAGGCCCTCGGGCAGTGCCCGAGTTTCCAAATGGTCAGTCCACCCCTGGTAAGGACTCCTTTAAATTTGCAATTTAGGAGGCAGTAACACCCCATAGTTGAGACATCAGGGGTGTAGATTCAGGGGTTGCCATGGCAGCCCCACCACATGCTCCAGGGGGCCCATGCGGACCTCTCTGTCACATTCTGTTTTACACTTGGACCGGCAGAGGTGGCATATACAGGAACTGATCCTTTCCACTTTTTTCCCTGGAACCGCTGAAAGCCAGCTCCTTCTCTCCCTCCCGCCAGCATTCATTGGCTGCTATTCAAAATTAAAAAAATTCTAAATTTTGAACCATTTCATTGTGACCGGATGTTAAATAACTTAAGTGGCCCTCACTCCTCAAACGGTTGAGCACCCATGCATTAGATAATTAAATACATAATTCCAGCAATTCTACCGTGAATTATAAAAGAGTCCACAATAAATAAAAATTCAAAATAAAATAGTCCACTGTGATATTTTATTCCTTTCACAACCTTCACCAGTTCCAGTGCTCCTGGCCACCACCACATCAATCAGCTTACCAGAACTTTAGACCTCAATGCACAGGAGGTCTAATGTGGCTTTATGCTGCCCACAGATAAATGGATGGATGGATGGCTTCCCTGTGCTGCTCAAAAGTGGCCATATAAATTAGAAGTGGATCTCAAATGCAGGAGAAGAAAGAAGAATCTACGTACTCACAAGCAAAGGATTATAAATCAAACGATGAGCCAGCGTGATGACGTCACTACATAGCTCCACCCTGCATTGGCAATGATGTTACGTGGTGACGTCATCATGTCGGCTCGTTGTGATGAGCTTTACAGTTTTATTGCAGGCTAAATAAATATTGCTGAATACAAGTGGCATGTGTAATCTTTTGCAGCTTTGTGCATTTCTTCCAGATCTGTGCAGTAATCCAGTGTGAGACTTTACCTCTGAGCAGGAGCTTTCTGTAATAAGGACCGCTCACTGCTGCTCACTCACCTTGTGTAGAGTAGCTGGTCTTGTTACCACCCCCTCCTTTGGTTTTCTTCAGACAGCCTGTAGTGGGTGGGACCTGATAGCCTTTGCAGAGAACAAAGCTGTCGGAGGAGCCTATGTACAGCATTGTGATGATGTCACCACTTTTACAAAGTAATAACAGGGTTTGTAAGGCATTTGGGTTTACACAAAGTGGATTTGTACCCTTTGTTGCCATAAAAGAATATGTTTAAATGAAAGTGTGTGTGCCTATAGTTCTTCTTTAGCACACAGTATTAGTGCAGGACAAAGTCCTTATTGCATACCATTTAATATACTGCAATATTTCACTCTCCCAGCTGTAAAGTAGAAGCATTGCACTTGCCTTGCTCTCTATATAAATATACATAGACTAGAGATAAGAGAAAAATCTGACATCTTTCTTTTATAACCTTCTATGCTACAGAGGAGATTTTACTGTACAATAAATGCATCATTGCCATTGCAGAAAACGGATCCATACATAAGGACTTCTCAAACTCATGTTTGTTCCCGTGGGAGCGGACACTCCTAAAGAGAACCTGTCATAAGGCCATTCATTACAACACACATATTCCTATAATATTCTTAGATTGTAAGCTACAAGGATCAGGGCCCTCCTAACCCTCTTGTATTGAACTGTATAATTGCTGTATTGTCTCCCTTTATATTGTAAAGCGCTGAGCAAACTGTTGGCGCCATATAAATCCTGTATAATAATAATAATATGTGCTTTAACATGCTTTAAAGTGTTACTAAACCCTGGAATTCACCTGGTCTCCCCGGACCCTGCATTCACTATATCTGGTCTCCCCGGACCCTGCATTCACTATATCCGGTCTCGCTAGACCCTTCACTCACTATATCTGGTTTCCCACGACCCTGCATTCACTATATCTGCTCTTCCCGGACCCTGCATTCACTATATCTGCTCTCCCCAGACCCTGCATTCACTATATCTGGTCTCCCCGGACCCTGCATTCACTATATCTGCTCTCCCCGGACCCTGCATTCACTATATATGGTCTCCCCGGACCCTGCATTCACTATATATGGTCTCCCCAGACCCTGCATTCACTATATATGGTCTCCCCAGACCCTGCATTCACTATATCTGCTCTCCCCGGACCCTGCATTCACTATATCTGCTCTCCCCAGACCCTGCATTCACTATATATGGTCTCCCCGGACCCTGCATTCACTATATCTGCTCTCCCCGGACCCTGCATTCACTATATATGGTCTCCCTGGACCCTGCATTCACTATATCTGATCGCCCCGGACCCTGCATTCACTATATCTGGTCTCCCCAGACCCTGCATTCACTATATCTGGTCTCGCCGGACCCTGCATTCACTATATCTGGTCTCCCCAGACCCTGCATTCACTATATCTGGTCTCGCCAGTCCCTGCATTCACTATATCTGGTCTCCCCGGACCCTGCATTCACTATATCTGGTCTTGCCGGTCCCTGCATTCACTATATCTGGTCTCCCCAGACCCTACATTCACTATATCTGGTCTCGCCGGACCCTGCATTCACTATATATCGTCTCCCCGGACTCTGCATTCACTATATCTGGTCTCCCTGGACCCTGCATTCACTATATCTGGTCTCCCCGGACCCTGCATTCACTATATCTGGTCTCACCGGACCCTGCATTCACTATATCTGGTCTCCCCGGACCCTGCATTCACTATATCTGATCTCCCCAGACCCTGCATTTACTATATCTGGTCTCCCCGGACCCTGCATTCACTATATCTGGTCTCACCGGACCCTGCATTCACTATATCTGGTCTCCCCGGACCCTGCATTCACTATATCTGATCTCCCCGGACCCTGCATTTACTATATCTGGTCTCCCGGACCCTGCATTCACTATATCTGGTCTCGCCGGACTCTGTATTCACTATATCTGGTCTCCCTGGACCCTGCATTCACTATATCTGGTCTCCCCGGACCCTGCATTCACTATATCTGCTCTCCCCGGACCCTGCATTCACTATATATGGTCTCCCAGACCCTGCATTCACTATATATGGTCTCCAAGGACCCTGCATTCACTATATCTGCTCTCCCCGGACCCTGCATTCACTATATCTGCTCTCCCCGGACCCTGCATTCACTATATCTGCTCTCCCGGACCCTGCATTCACTATATCTGGTCTCCCTGGACTCTGCATTCACTATATCTGGTCTCCCTGGACCCTGCATTCACTATATCTGCTCTCCCCGGACCCTGCATTCACTATATCTGCTCTCCCCGGACCCTGCATTCACTATATATGGTCTCCCCAGACCCTGCATTCACTATATATGGTCCCAGACCCTGCATTCACTATATATGGTCTCCCCAGACCCTGCATTCACTATATCTGGTCTCCCAGGACCCTGCATTCACTATATCTGGTCTCCCAGGACCCTGCATTCACTATATCTGGTCTCCCCGGACCCTGCATTCACTATATCTGGTCTCCCCGGACTCTGCATTCACTATATCTGGTCTCCCCGGACCCTGCATTCACTATATCTGGTCTCCCCGGACTCTGCATTCACTATATCTGGTCTCCCCGGACCCTGCATTCACTATATCCGGTCTCCCCGGACCCTGCATTTACTATATCTGGTCTCCCCGGACCCTGCATTCATATATATGGTCTCCCACAGTACACAGAACATGGAAATGCAATTATTTTAGTAAATATAAACTGTTAAATACCTTTTCTCACAAGCAGTTAGAGAAGTCTTGTGACTTCTATCAGTGTCCAGCAGAGCACTAGTTAAAGCTTGTAGGAGGAGTTTTCATTCTCCCCCGATTGTCCAATGAGGCTGCAGGATCCCTGACCATTTGTCTGGACAAGTCCCAGATGAATCTCTCTCTTCACCCAGCTGCCTGAGGGTATCCCTGGGCAAGGGGACCCAGAAACTGCCACTTGACCAAGCAGCTCCAGATGAGAAGCTAGATGGGTATGTCAGCTGACTGCTCACTGCCCTAACCCAGCCCAGGGGGTGCAGGATTGCTCACTCAGTCCTCTCCTGTGAGCATGGTGGATTGGTGGCTGCCTTCAGGCCTTACACTGGGCTGGCACCTTCCCTGCTCCACAGGCTGTCTTCTCTCTGGGGACAATGAGGCAAAATGTTTCTACTTTTCAGCTCTTGCCTGCAGGTAGGCCCCTCTCCTGGGCTCCCTCCAAGGCTCCACACTTCAGCCTTCACTCCATCTTTTACCCAACACTACTTTCCCTGCTGATCAGGCTCAATCATCTTTAAGGGCTGTCCTGGTTCCATGCCAAGCCTCCTGCTTGGGGATTGGCCAAGATTCCTTAAATATGCAGATCAGCTCATCATCACTCTCACCCACTGCTTTCTAGAAACCTCTCAAGCTTCTAGACCAGGTGATGGTATCAGGAACTGACCTGCAGACCCTGACCTAAAATAACTTGGCTGACTCATGCCAGGCTGACTCATCCCAGGCTGCTATTCAGCCTCTACCTTAAAACCTAACTAGCTTCCTCTAGCTAAACCTGAGGGGCACTACATTTATTTTTTTGTTGTTTTGTTAAAGGGGAAATGTTTTTGTTTTCCATCACCATTGAACTCTATTTTAGCGCAAACGCAGTTTTTTGCATTGAAAAAAGACCCTGACACTTTCCATAAACGCAGCAGATCAAAAAAAGCATAGATATGAACATGTCCCATAGGAAACCATGTTAATTGGACTGTAGTGTGTTTCTGCAAAAAGCACTAAAAAATGCATTGGTGTGAATCAGGTCTTACCTTCTTACATGTCTTGGATTGTCCAAAAATCCCGATGCTGCAATTCCCAAATCTGTTCCTATCTGCCTTGTTTCCCAGAAGACTCTCCCCCCGCATTGGTATAGACTGTCAAAAGTGACACATGCAGATAGCAGAGAGAGGAGACAGCAGACAGAAATCACACTCAGTGCTTTGGTTTGAGGAAAGAACACACTATAGAAGGATATGCTTTGTTCATTTTTCATTTCAGAGCTCTACATCCATTTTAAATCAATGTCATCCCTACCAACCAATATAGTGACCATGAGATATGGGAAACTGTTAGTTAGTTTAGCTCCCCAGTATTGGTTGTGGGATAGGCTGACCCTTTAAATTCACAAGAATCAAAATGTAACATTTTATTGGTCGAAACCAAAAGAATTTCAAATTTATAGTAGACGTGAAGTCATTTTTTTGGGATAGAGCAAAGGATAGTTAGAACTCCTGCCAAATTTATTCCCGCCCATATTTCAACAGGAAGTGAGATAACATTTTTCCAAAATGATTGGAAAGTCTCTAATAAACAACAGATTTCCATTAAATATTTCCACTCACCTCTTATTTCACCAAGTGAGGACACAAAAAGCAATAAAAACCTGTTGTCAGGAATGGACTCGCCAATGGTGGTGGGACTCACCTGCCTTGTGGGCTGCAGTACCAGGGCTGGCCAGCGGGTGCTCTCAGCAACCAGAAGCTCACTCCTGCAATCAGCCATCACCTGAGGCTGATTGCAGGAGGTGTATTTAAGGAATGGCCAGACCTGCAGTCAGTGCCTTGGTGTTTGTTTCCCATGTGCCCTGTTTCCTGTATCCCTGCCTGCTCGACTCTCCTGCTTGACTCTGACTCTGATAGAACTCCGCCTGCACTGACCCCGGCTATTCCTGACCATTCTTCTGCCTGATCCCGTTGTACCTTTCTGCCTGATTGTTCCTGACCCGGCCTGCCTGACCACTCCACCTCTCCAGCCCTGACTGCACCTGTACCTATTAGTTTAAGGTTTGTTTTGTTTTGCACTGCGTTTGTTTATTTTGTGCAGCTCATAATAAATATTATTATTATTTAATCATTTCTGAAGCCTGCTGTTTCCCTGTGTCAGTCCACACATCTCTGGTCATACCCGGATCCCTGACACCTGTAATTCCAAAGGGGTAAAAGCCTGCAGGACTCGGTAAAATTCAATGCAGGTGTAACATTGTTCCTGGCAAGCACATAAAGTCCCCTCCTAGTACTTCCTTACTGACGCGTTTCACCACAAAACTGGACTAATAAAGTCCCCTCCTAGTGCTTCCTGCACTTACGTGTTTCACCCAAAAACTGGACTAGTGAGTCATTAAACTTTGGAATTCCTCCCCTTCTCCTCATTTCCACATCATAGAGGGAGTTTTGTAGTCCGAGATAGAAACTTGAAGGCCTGATTAGATGTTATGATATATAACAGGTAGAGTGCACAAGACAGTTCTTAATTTCTGATGCCAACAATGGGTATTATTTGCACTCATTGAGCAGATATAACAAAACACTACCACTGGAATATTTAACAAATCAAAGGAAGCCAATAAAAGAAGACAATTTAGGCTCAGTCTAGTGGATGTCTCTTTAGAGTTTGTTGCTGAAGAACTTTAACAGGAGAGGGGTTTAGGGTCACAGGATAATCTAAACCGATAACAGCAATCAATGCGAGGACAAACGTTTTAGTAGAAAATCCTTACAGGAGCAGTACACACTGCAGCCCCAAATCAGGTCTTACTCACAACACCCTGACATGGAGGTTATCTACTAAAACTGGTGCACTCGGAATCTGGTGGCAAATCAGCTTCTAACTTTGGCTTCTTCAATTAAGCTTTGACAATAAACACTGAAAGCAGATTGGTTTATATGCAGAGCTGCACCAGATTTTGCACCATGTAGTTTTAGTAAATAACCCCCAAGGTCCCCCAAACATTTATTACCTCCACAGCCACCTTCTGGATGCGTCCTTCCAGGGATTGTCTGGGCATGATAAATATTCATGCTGGGCATTGAACTTTCCCTGCCCTATATTCTGAAAGTATCTTCCAGAAGCAGGTGGGAGAAATCAAACACCCATCCTGGAAACCCTGGCAAGGCAAAATCAATTGCTGCTCCACTGAATGCAGTGAAGCCAAACAAATAGATCTAGCCTAGTGGCCTAACTAGAGGAGGGTGGTACATGTATATATATTCACACACAGTATATGGATATGCATGTCCAATATACAGTATATGTGTAGCACTACCCCTGTGGGGGCCTTTGAAAGATGAAGGTCCCCAAAGGTTGCCATGACCTTGCAAGCCCTCTGACACCCTAGGTTCATACATGGTACACACAGGATCATACTTGCAATGACACCAAAATTTTAGTAAGGCAATTTGATATTTACGAGGAGCTTTCAAGTCAACAGACAAAGACAAAATTTATTAGGATGGTTAACTCTTGGTATGAGCCGTTTAGTCCCTGGGGACTCAAAATCACAGATGTACAGTAAAGGTGAATCATACAGCTATTACAATTAGACCTTTTACGCAACCTTTGGCCCCAGGCATGAAAGGAGAAAGGAAGACTTTCCTGTGTCAATCCTTCCCCTTAAAACCCTAATGCCACAGGCCTGACATATATCAAGAATATTGCAGTGAACTATTGCTGAGTGTTCAATCTGTCGAACACATGCAAAAATGGAGCACAGAGTTATTTAAGTGAAGGCAATAAAAGAAAAGGGAAGGAGAGCCTTGGCGATGGAACGTGTCCCAGAATCTTCAGCTAGCTCAATTAGGGCCCAGAGGGGATTACTCTGCAATGGCGACCAGCAATGAGGGAAAACATAAGATAGTGTCTCCTGTTGGAGACCTTGTGATCATAGAAGATGAGATAAAGGTGTCTGCATGCAGTGTCCTGGAAAGGGTGTGCTCAGTGTGGGCCTCCACCCGTTCACCATTTATGAAGATACCGAGGCTCAATGGAAGAAGACGTCCTAGAACAGACTCTTGAAGGATCCAGACCCAGAGGGAAAGGCCTGATCCATGTACCCGATGATACTGAACTCCAAGTCGGCCTGTCACGGTGATGAAGAGAGTGACCCTGGACACAGGGCCGTGAATAAGGGAGTACCACCAGTTCTCCTGTATGGGGCCCAGGCCAGCAGGGGGGCCCAGGCAGCTGGGTGAATCAGATTTGTGGGCAGGGAGGGTGATCAACATGGGGGGACAATTACTGGAACCAATCCCCTGTATGGCTTTCTGCAGCAGCTGAAAGATGGCTTTTTCTCCTCTACCTCCTGCTGGCTTTCAGGTTTTGCAGAGAGAGAGCCATACATAGGATTGATTCCAATAATTCACCCCCCCTGCTGCACCCATCACCCTCCTGTGCACCATGTTTCCCTTTGCTGCCCAGGCCCCCTGTGTGCCCACACCCCTGCCGGATTCCCTCCTCTCCTTTCCACCGGCAACTGCAGTCACGCAAAAGATTCCTTCAGGATGGAGACTAAGGG